TTATCATTTAGGTTATTACTTCAAGTTATTTTGTTACAGTGCTGGGAATCTAGAACACAGCTAAAAACTTTAAGTTTGAGTCTAGTCTACATAGCAAGTACCAGGCCAGCCAAGACTACATAGTGAGACCCTGTGTAGAAAAAGGGGAGGGGGTAGCTAGAGATAACAGCTTAGTGGGGAAAAAATAGCAAGAAGAAAATAATCACTGAAACCTAGTAATTCAGAAAAACAGTAAGAAACTATGTTCCAGATTTCTATTCAAATAAATCTGATAAGTTAGATGACATGAGTAATTGTGTAAAACAACAACTAAAAACAATTTTTTACCAAAATGCACTCCATCCAATAACATGCTTTAAAAAACCAGTTTCTCTAGAAGAAACAGGAACTTGCCAAGGAACTATGCTACAACAAAAGCACACAGAAGAAATACACAGAGAAATGTATGTTTCTTATATTCATAGATAAGGGATATAAACAATTTCACTAGTACTCATCATCTAGAAGACTAACAGACTAAAAAATTAAAGAGTAAAACAATCATCTTAAAAATACTGCTTAGAACATGCTATTCTTCTTGAGTAAATGCCAATTTGGTGAGCATAAGAACTAAGGGAGAGAAGTACACAGAGTACTTAAACTGTAAAGTTTGAAAGTCAGAGGCAGGAAACTTCCTCTCCCCTACAGCAGGCAATAAATGGCTATTAATTAACCAACTCAAGATGTAATGTTTATATCAACCATCCTTTAGGTACTTAACTTGTAATTGTTTTATCCCATAAGATCAGTTACTTTACAACTAAAAGAGCAGATGGCCATTTCTACTAAGATTTAATGCCATACTTCTTAGCAAATATCAGTGATAGGATCACTTCATCTAAAAAAAGGCATAGTTTTTAGAAATCCATGAACCCCCTCAACTCAAATCCATTAAAAAAAAAATCCACATTTTGAGAAAGCAGTACATTCATGTTCATATCAGAAAATGTTAGGCTACATGTTTTCAGTATTAACAAACACATTTTAAAATTATTCCCCCCAACTCCAATATGTATCTATTAGCATATTCTACAAGCAAAGCTTTTCCATGCAAGCATCCACCAGAAACCAGTACTACCACCTGTTCCTTAAACAGGGCAAAAAGGAGGACAGTAAGAAGACTAGAGAAGTGACTAACACACTGCAGGAAGGTGCTCTACAACTACTGGCATGCAGTGACTGTCAAGCAGGTGAACAGAGGCTAGAACACTGAAAGGAGCTGAAAGCTCCAAGCAGAAAGCCCAACTTCCTGGTCCATCTCAGCAAGAGTTCCCAGTGTTTAAAGTATTCTACCACCAAAAAGACTAAGGGTTGTTACAGAAGAAACACTCAGGAACAAAGCAGCAGTTACAAATTGCTAAGTTCTTTCATAAACAATAAATCTATGTAATCTAAATAAAGCTTTATTTTTTTCAGTAAGATTTCCTTGTTCCATCATTAAATTAACTATTAATCATATAACAAAGTACATTTCAATATATATAACTCAAACATAGGGCACCTTCATAACAGTTATTTAATCCTATATTCAGGGTTTTGAGTGCTACTTGATGTATATTATCAGATAGTATACATTATTTCCAATTTCTACAGTCACCAGATTTAGAACTCATTTTGTTTACTCAGGGAACATGTCCTGCATTTTTTCTGTCTTTGTTTTGTTCTCCCATAGAATATCAAACTTACTACTTAAAAATTGAGTCTAGAGTCAGGTATGGTGGTGCACATGTTAATTCCAGCTGAAGCAGCCTGTGAGATAGAAGCTAGCCTGGTCTACATATCAAGTTCCAGGCCAGCCAAGTCTACAGCAAGACCCTGTCTCAAAAACTAAAACAAAATAAAAGAAAAACAAAAACACCCACCTAAATCTACCTGGGCATGGTGGTGCATACCTTTAATCCCAGCACTTGGGAAACAGAGGTAAGAGGATCTGTATCAATTCAAGGCCAACTTGGTCTACATAGTGAGTTCCAGGTCAGTCATGACTCCATAGTAAGACCCTGTCTCAAAACAAAAACAAAAACTAAAAAAACTACAGTCTAGCCATCCATGAAAAGCAAATAGAACAAAAATGTTCTAGAAATTTAGAAATCTTAACTACAGGGGTCTAAACATAATTCAAACATCTTTAAATAGTTCAAAGTTAAAATATGTAATGATTCAAAGACTATCATAAAAAAATTTCTTTCATAGTGAGCAGACTTTAAAGAAAACTAGAAAGCCAACTTATACAGGGAAATTAAAAAAAAAAAAAAAAAAAACCCCAAAAAACCTACTTCATCAGTTAGCTTTCAGTTCCTATTAGACCTGTGGGGTCTTTATAAGGTAGATCTTCTAGAACAGTTACAGAATGGAACTTTTGTGTGCATAGGTCAGAGGTCGACCATACAGGGTATCTTCCTCCATCAGTCTATATCATTGTTTTAGTCTCTGAAGGCTGGCTGGCTAGAGAGCCCCTGGGATACTCAGCTCTGGGATTAGAAGTATATACCAACAAGCCTGACATTTTATGTAGGTGCTGGGGGCAGGGGTCTAAACTCAGGTCCTTGTGCTGGAGCAGCATACACTTTACTCATGGAGTCATCTTTCTAGCTCCAGGAATGAACGCTTCACCCTAATATGTATACATAAATACACTCATATGGGGCTGGAGAGATGACTCAGCAGTTAAAAGCACTGATTACTCTTGCAGAGGACCCAGGTTTGATTCCCAGCACCCACATGGCAGCTACAAACCATCCTTAACTCCACTTCCAGGGGAATCTGAAGCCGTCTCTGACATCTGCGGCATTGCATGACAGGTGCACTCACGTACATGCAAGGCAATATACTCATACACATAAAATTTTAAAAATAAGCTGGGCGTGGTGGTACATGCCTTTAATCCCAGCACTTGGGAGGCAGAGGCAGGCGGATCTTTATGAGCTCAAGGCCAGCCTGGTCTACATAGTGAGATCCAGGATGGCTGGGGCTACAAGGAGACCCTGTATCAAAAAAGACAAAAAAAAAAAAAATTTGAATAATAAAATTTTTTAAAAATACACTCATACTTGTCATGTATTTATCTAATTTTGGTTCAGATGATGATAAAATTATATTCTTAGTCAAAAGTAGTATAGAGCTTTATTCAAACACAACTCAAATATTATAATTTTTGATTAATAAAAATTCATACTGCATGTAGATATCTATTTGGTTGGGTTGTCTGGGACAACACATTTTGCTCACTAAATCCATGTTTTTTTGTTTTCCTAGAGATCAATCCAGAGCCTTGCATGCACATGCTTCTCTCCTTTATGTTTTCGAGACAGAGTTTTGCTATGTACCCTAGGCTGGCCTTCAACTATGTAGCCCAGGTAGACCTCAAACTCATGGTAGTCCTCTTGCCTCAGCTTCCTGAATCCTGGGATTTTAAGAGTGTACAGCCCCATCCAACTCAGCCATTGGCTGTTGGAGATAGAGTCTCACTATACAGTTCGGGCTGGCCTTGAACTTGAGACAGGTGCATTATATCATGCTCAGCTAATTTTTTTTAAATTATGTTTTTATTCCCTATTATTAAAAAAAATTGAGGTGGGCATGGTGGCACATGCTTTAATCCCAGCATTTGGGAGGGAGAGGCAGGCAGATCTCTGTGAGTTTGAGGCCAGCCTGGTCTACATAGTGAGTTCCAGGCCAGTTGGGGCTACAGGGAGACCCTGTCTCAAAAAAAGAGACAAAAAAAAAATTAAGGGAAGGGTAGAAAGTTTGAAGCCGCCCTGCTGCCAATTTTTAAATTAATAAGATTTCAATCAAAATCTTAGTTATTTAACAATATCTTATTCTGTATACCAGAGGTCATTAAACTATAACCAGTACATCAAATACAACCCATTGCCTTTTTTCTGTATTTTGAAAAAAAAAAATTTATGTGTAAGAGTATATTGCCTGTGTGTATATTAAGTGTACCCGTGTTGTGCAAATGCCCTCAAAAGAAGGCATCGGATCCCCTGGAATTGAAGTTATGGACGACTGACAGCCTCCATGTGGGTGCTGGGAATTGAACCTGGATCCTCTCCAAGAGCAGCCAGTGCTCTTAAGCGCTGAGCCATCTCTCTAGCACCTTTTTCTATATTTTTATTAGAACACTGCCATGCCTATTTATTTATTTGTCTTTTTTTAACAAAATATTTTATTTATTATTTTTATTTTATGTGTATGAGTGTATTGCCTGCATGTATGTGAGTGCACCCGTGTCGTGCAATGCCGTGGAGGTCAGAAGAGGGCCTCGGATTCCCCTGGAACTGGAGTTAAGGATGGTTCATAGCCACCATGTGGGTGCTGGTAACAGGACCCTACTGAGCCATCTCTCCAGCCCCTATTTATTGGTCTTTTTGAGACAGGGTATCCCTGTAGCTCCAACCGGCCTGGAACTTGCTTTAAAGACCAGATTGGCCTTGAATTCACAAAGATCCGCCTGCCTCTGTCTCCTGAGTGCTGGGATTAAAGGCCTATGCCACCATCCCCAGCTGCCAGACCTATTTTTAAACTTATTGTCTATAGTTTCTTTCACATGACAATGGTCAGGTTTAAGTAACTAAAACAGAGACTATGATCTACAAAGTCTAACATATTTATTATTTTTTCACACACAGTAACAACAAAAATAAAAATAACAAAAAAAAAAACTAAGGACCTCTACTTCTAGACCTTTTAAGATATAACACTCAACATTTCTACACTAGTGCTAATTGAAATAACCTTAATTTTGCCTAATTTGTGATTGTATATATACTATTAAAGTGCCCCTATATTTGAATCCTATTACATTAAGACTTAGCTTTAGTTGCTGTGTTCACTGAGGCTTCTCATGTACAAGCCATTACATGGGAAAAAGCTGTGAAGGTTAGCTTTAGATTAGCAAAGACTATTTCCAGCAGATTTGCTTGCTGTTTTATTTTTCTTATTGCTATAAAAATTACCATTTCGGAGTCACTGTGAGAGGCCTGACCCAGGCTGGATGCAGGCCCTAGCTCAGAGTGAGAAGCTTGGTCAAGGGAGAGAAGGGGCTCAGTAATGTCATCGTAATCATCTTCCTCTGTATCCCCCTCCCCATCGGCAAAAGTACCTCTAGTCAAGAAATCGGAGCGCGTCCGCGCCATTCGAGCTTTCTTTTTATGGGCCGGTCTGGCAACCTGCTTGACCAAATGATAAAACAAATAACACAACAATGCTTTGCTTTTGTATTTTGGAGAAGATGCCAATGAAAGAGGGTTCATGAATGTCTGGAAACTTCCCTCCCCCCCACCATGCCCTTTTTGTTAAAAGAACAGGGATGACCAAAAGGAATCCATAAACATTACTGTGGACAAAGGGTAAGAATGAAAGCTGCCTACACTGTTCTTCTCCATAGTCAAGTAAGTCACCTTTCACTGCCCTAAGTCACATCAAAATCACCTGAACAAATTGCCCTTCTTTTCCTTAGCAATTTCTTTCTTGTAAGTATGATCTGAGTTTTCAGGTACCATCCTTGCCTAGTATACACCTTCCTATTATAATAGGCTTAGCTCACAGCTTCTTTCTCTAAAAACACTTGGGAATGAATGGGTATATGAGGTGTTCTACCTGTAAGAATAATAGTTTCCAAAATAATGTACACCTACTTTAGGTAAAAAATCATCAAGATCTGGTACTTACCTCTCGTTGTTCCGGCCCTGCTAACTTAGGTTTCCAAGCTGGTTCATCTTGTTTAAGGACTTGAGGATTTCCACTATTGACACTTTAAATAAAACAAACAGGACTGCATTTCAATTCCCAGCAGATATCCTATGGAAGTAGTCCTGAATTATAGCACGAACTATAATTTAACAGAACAGCAAGTCTAGCAAATTCTATAAGTAATTTCAGATCTTCGTCAACTCCGAAAACAATAAGACTATTTTCTCTTTTTCATGTATGTGGTATATGCATGTGTGTGCACATGTGAAGACGCCTATGTGTTATCCTATGGAGGCCAGAAGAGGACATCCGATCTCCTGCTCTATTACTATCCACCTTATCTCAGGTCTCTCACTGAACTCAGAGCTTGTTGTTTTTCAGCTAGGCTGACTGACCAGCAATGCTTACATTTCTACTGGCCCCTAGCATTACGGTTACAGATATGTGAGCCATACTCAGCTTTTATTCAAGGTACTAGGAATTCAAACTCAGGTCCTCATGTTTGTGCAAGTGCTCTTACCCATTGGGCCACTTCCCCAGCCCCACATTTATTTTCTTACCCAATCAATACAATTATCATGAATCTACATGTATGAATAAATTCTAAGACACCCCTTGTGATAATAAACTGGGTATATCCCAGTATGATGGCATATGTTTAAGAAAAGCAGCAGCAAAGAAAAGAAAACATCAACACTCTCCCCCACATTTAAGACACTAGTCTTAAAAGGGCTTTTCATCTAACCATTATAAAATATCTGACAAGTAATGGGGATCTCAATTTACTTTGATTCTGTAAAATGCTGATGTTTTTACTGTTACTTAAGAGGACAAAACTTTTTTTCTTAGACAAGGTTTCCCTGTAGCCTGAGCTTGGCCTGGAACTCATTATGCAGACCATGATGGCCTCCATCTCAAAAAGATACCCTGCCTCTGCCTCCTAAGTGCTGGGATTAAAAGTGTGTGCCACCTTGCCTGGCAAGAACAGGGCATTTAAAATGTAAATTTTATCTGTAGGCTTTCATATGAACAATATAATATAATCATATTAAAGATAAGTACATTTTAATAAATAAATGGTAATATCTGCTATATAAAGGAAAACTATATAAAATGTTTTGGAGAAATGATAAAAGGAAAAAGGAATAATAATAATAATCTTTGATAAGGATTTTTTTTTTTTTGTAAACCACAAATCTACAAAAGAGACTCTTGGGTCCAATAGCTATTTTATATACACAAACATACAGCCTTCACATCATTAATCTTAAAGTGACAAGGAAATGTGTTTTTAATACTTTCTTTTTGGTTTAGTATTACTTTCTTATGTTACATAAAGCCTTTGAACTTCTGGACATAACCTCCAGGTTAATATGAATAGGACATGAAGCCATCATTAAATTAAACTATTTCACAATATTGTAGGAAGCCTCAGTGGAAAAATATCTATGCTATCATCTGTATTTGCAAAAGATTTCTATTAAATATGTATGTAACTTACTAGTTCTGTATGAAAATTTAAAGCCTTAAGGATTTCAATTTAAGTGCTGGGTGTGGTTTTTAATCCAACATTAAAGAGACAGAGGCAGGTGGATCTCTTGAGTTTCAAGCCAGTCAGGGCTATATACTGACACCTTGTTACCCCTCCCCCCAAAAAACCCCACAAAAAAACCAAAGATTTCAACTTAATTTGAGACTATGATAGGAAAGAAGGGTGTTTTTCCACTGATACTGTGAAATTTAAGTTTTTAGATCTAAGACACAGACCTCTTTCATTTCACCAGTGATACTTTCACAAGACCTCAATAAATTTTATACAAAGATTTGACACAAATAAAATTTATCTAATCTGTTTTTATATACTACTTAAAATATTCTTCTCTGGGCTGGCTGGGGAAGTGTAGCTCTGAGGTGACTGCTTGATAAGCATGTGTAATGTCCCAAGTTTGATCTCAGTACTGAAAGGAGGAGAAAAAAAAAAGAGCTCTACATGCTGCCGTAAGTTAAGATGCTTTTCTTATGACTACCACCAGTTAAAAATAACTAAACTAAACCAAACTAAACTAAAAAGAACTCCCAGTTATGTTAGAGCTCTCAAGCAGTTTTTTAAAAAATATTTTATTATTTTTATGTGTACAAGTGTATTGCCTTCATGTATGTGAGTGCACACGTGTTGTACAATGCCACGGAGGTCAGAAGAGGGCTTCGGATTCCCCTGGAATTGGAGTTAAAGATGGTTTAATGCTGCCATGTGGGTGCTGGGAGTAAAACCCAGGTCCTCTGCAAGAATAGTCAGTGCTCTAACCATTGAGCCATCTCTACAGCCCCCACTTTGACTCTTAGAAAGAGAAAATAGAATGGTGGTTGCCAGAGAATAGGGAGAGGAAAAAGAGGAGCTGTTCAGTGAGTAGTGTTTCAGTACTGCAAGGTTAAAAAAATGTTAGAGATCTATTGTGTAACAATGTACATATAGCTAATGCTACTATCCTGTAGACTTAAAAATTATTACAAAGTTTTATGTAATATGATTATCACACAACAAAAGTGTAAAGAAATTAATGATGGCCATAAATAGGCCAATAGCTATGATAAAACGTGAAGTTCTGGAAAGCCTCAGGCTAACCAGTTTGGAACACTTCAGTACTTCATACCTCTACAGCAACATCTAGTATGTTTACAAGCACTGTACTGTCCTCCACAAATGCTTTTTCAACTAATGAGGAAGAATAAAAACTGTGATACTACACTACATTCAAAGTTCTAAGGATATAACTACATTCAATTTCAGGTAACTGATATTTTACACAGAGAAAAATGGCCAAGTAGAGCAGTATGTAGGTAGAGAAGGGGGGGACATAAAGCACTTTAACAAATAATTCCAGGAAATTATCCATTTTACATAAAAATAAACATTCACTTACAGGGAAATATCCATATTGTTCTTTGGTGTGAAGAAAATGGCTTTTGTACTTCCTTCTCTGGAAGGGTCATTAGATCTGTGGCCATAAGAGTGCGTTGACCAAGGGTGTTCTCCTTCTGAAATATTATTAGAGAGTTTGCAGGCTACATTCTGCTGGGTGCCTATTCTTTCTGTCTTTGATAATTCCTTGATAGTACTATATTGGCATGGGCTTCCTTTTTTTTCAAAGAACAGGGTGACAGGCCGGTCCTTCATGGGTAAATGAGTTGAGGGACTGTCTTTTGCAGCAAGAGATGCATTTCTTTTAGTGACTGCTGATGAGGATCCTAGCACTCGAGGTTCTCCCTTACTTGGGGTGTTTTGGATATGGAGAGAGGATGGCCTCTCTACTCTTTCCCTTGACTGATACAAAGACGGAGCCAAGAGAGATGGTTCAGTTTGTGGCTGTTCAACTGTCTTGAAGGCTTTACGTTCCTTCTCTAAAATATCTGTCTGCTGGCGAATTTGCTCCATCATCTCTTTTTCATTCTGCTGCTGCAACTGCTTTTGCCTTTCTTCCTTTTCAGTATTTAGTTTTTCTAACTTCTTAAGCACAGTATTGGCAGAATCTGTATTCAAAGGAATCACCTGATCTCCTGAGAGGTGGTATTTCCTAGTTTCCCTGTTGATATCCAGAGCTGTCCTCAAAGTGTCTTCTCTTTCTGGTAGTTTGTTTCTTTGGATACTTGTGTCTAGTTGGGAACTTGTTTTCAGGGGATCTTGGTGGGGAATATAAAAAAATGTAGGCAAATTATTTGAAATAAAAGAGTCTCTCAGTTGGGGTTTATAGGTAATAGGTTCAGAACAACAGACCAGACTCTCCTTCATAGTCCCATTCTTCAAATGTTCTGAGTCAGAGGGTGTTCCTTTTTGAAGCAATGCATAGCTATTCTCTCTTGAGGCACAGAGGGCATTGTCCTGTGAATCGAATTTTGGAGTGGTAGATACCTTAAGTGATGAAACTTGTAATTCTCTCTTGTCTACAATGAGAGATTCCAGTTTGCTCTTTTGACTTTCCTCACAGGTGAGAAGTTCTAAGCTTCCTTGAGAGCTTTCACTATCAGGTGTATCCTGTGGAGACTGAAGGCCTTCAGGTATCAATTCTGTAGACCATCTACGTTCCTCTGAAGGAGACACACCACCCAGAGAACGGACTTTTAGTAATTCTAAGCTAAATATAGCTTGTTCCAGTTCTCTCATTCTCCGACTCTCTCTTTTGGCCCGGCCTACTTTTTTCTGATGAAGATCCTCCAAGGACTTGGGCCTCTGTCTTACAATCACATCTTCCTGTAAGTCCATACCACTTTGGCTTCTGTCTGTCTCCTGTTGCTTATCTAGAGACTCCTTTGAGAAGTCAACTGAACTCTCATGGCAAATTCGATTACTCTCTATCACAGATTTACATTCCTCCAAGGCTTTCACTCTGTTGTCAAAGGAACGATCCTCCCACTCTGAAGGGTCAGAACCCTGAATTTCCAGAGCACCATGTGCCTTCATAGCCACCAATCCACCATTTGCTTCTCTTAGTTCTTTTTCTTTTAAACCTTTAAATCTATATTTTAAAAGAAAAATGGGTTATAGATATTTCTTGGTTACTAGTGAAGAGACTATATTTCCTAAAAGTTTTTTTTTTTTAAAGTAACACCCCTCCTTTTTGTGAGGTGGAATCTTGCTATACTGAACTATGTTCAAAGCTGGTCTTGAACTTCAGGCTCAAGTAATCCTCCTGCTTCAGTCTCCTAATTAGCTAGAAATAGTATATATCACTGCACACAGTTTAAGTTTTTTCTTTTTAAATATCTAAGTAGTTCTTAAACTAACTTGATTGAACTACTTCAATTTATTCTCTTCCATGAGTGAGATATTATTTCCATTATTGAGTACCCCTAAATGGACAGCCTAGACAAACGTTAACAAAACTAAAGCTTTTTTGTTTGGTTTTTTGGTCTTTTTGAGACAGGGTCTCCCTGTAGCTCCAGCTGTCCTGGAACTCACTATGTAGACCTGTCTGGCTTTGAGCTCATAGAGATCCGCCTGCCTCTGCCTCCAGAATGCTGGGATTAAAGGCATGCACCACCACACCCAGCTAAACTAAAGCTTTTAATAATACCGTTATTATAAAATACAACAATTAAAAAAAAAAATCAAGGTTTCTAAAGGTAGTTTCAAATTTGTAAGATTACACCTAATGTAAAAGTTACTTCTTAACAGTTATAACCATAGACCATGGAGGTTGCCAACCTGACTTAATTTAATAAACATTTATTTAACTTCTATTATGGCCCAGCCAATGTAGGTTAGAATTGGTAGAGGTATCACTGTCTAGTGAATAAAACATAACCAATAATAATAAAGTATTAAAGCAGATGTTTAAACACAGGACTTGGGCTGGAGAGATGGTTCAGCAGTTAAGAGCACTGGCTGTTCTTCCAGAGGACCCAGGTTCCATTCCCAGCATCCACATGGCGGCTGACAACCATATGTAACTTCAGTTCCAGGGATCCAATGGTCCTCTTCAGGCCTGAGGCTTTGTACAACATGGGTTACATACATTCAGGCAAAACACTCATACACATAAAATAAAAATAAATTAAAAAATTAAACAAAGGAGTTGTGAAAATAGAAGGAACAATTATTGCATTAGCATAAATTACCGTTGTCTTGCTCTGAATCCTCTGCATGCTGATTGCAAAAGGATAATTTTATTCCTTTGCTCTTTGTACCTCTTACATTGCATGTAGCCCTTCCATCTTGCTTGTATACAGGTAGCAGCCACATGCCTAAGCCTATAGAGTTCCCTCCATCGCTGCTGGATGATGACAGCTGCAGCTCGTAACTCCAAGTATCGGTGTCTCTCTAAATGAGCACGCCAGGAAGCTTGGAGAAGGGAAGCTGCACTAGCTATAATGAAAGCATGTTTCTCCACAGCTTCATCTCTGACTTGCTTCTGATTTAGATAATTCCTCCAGAATCGCTAGGGAGAAAGAAGAGAAAGTGGATGCCATGTTACCAAATATTTTCATAGAAAAGGTTAAAAAAGGGATAAGTCCTATGTCATCAGGACTTTTAAGTAGATCAGCTAATTTGCAGGTTAAAAAAAAACATTTTAGGACTGGGTGTGGTGGCTTGTGCCTTTTGTCTCAGCACCGGGGAGGCAGAGCCAGGCGGATGGATCTCTGTGAGTTCAAGGCCAGCCTGGTCTACAGAATGAGTTCCAGGCCAGCTGGGGCTAGAGGGAGACCCTGTCTCACAAAGACCAAAAATAAAATAAAATAAAACATTTTAGCTCTTTTTTTTTCCTGCCACTGAATTGCACTGATGCTCCAATGGGTTTCACCCGTAACCTACTGCTATCACGAAGGAAGATATGGAAATTAATGCTCCCACAATGTCCTAGTAGGTGGAATCTGTAAAGCTGCCTTAGACAAGCAATGAGTCTATCTTTGTGTGCTTCCACCTGCCCAACTGATGAGTCTGTTTGCCAAATTGATATAGAGCCTCTGTGTTAATTATTAAACCACCAGAGCTGGAGAGATGTAGCTGGTAAGAGCACTGGCTACTCTTGCAGAGTGCCTGGATTTGAATCCCAGCATCCGCATGGCAGCTAACAATCATCTATAACTCCAGTTCCAGGGGAATCCAATGCCTTTTTCTGACTTCCAAAGGGATAGCAAGACACGGATGCACTTATACACATGCAGACAATATACTCCTGCACATAAAATACAAATAATAAAATATTTTTAAAAAATCATTAAATCAACCTTACTCAGGTTGACGGTGACAATAAACTAGACAAATGGAAAGACCTCTGCAAAACTGATCAAGAGGGGAAAAACAAAGTAAGTGGTTGCAGTTCTGTAATGGCTGAGGATTATACAGCAAAGACTCTCAGGCAATGACATCATCACAGAGGACTTCAAGATAATGAAAAATGGATCTTTATAAAATAAATAATTTCTTTGCTTGCCAAAAATACATATTTTAAATAATAGAGCTTTGGTGAAGATAATTACATAATTTAAATTTTGTGGATGTTTTCTTGCTCAACAAATTAATTTTAACAAATGATAGTTTCTTGATATTATTTTGCCAAATAGCATTAATAGATTTTTGATAACTAGAAATGAAAATACTAAGCATTTTCTTATACATACAGAAAAGACCTTATGTAGAAGCAAAAACAATATAAAACAATGGAGGAAGTAATAGAAAAGGCAAATGTGAAATAAGAACTATAAGTCAAAATTAAGTACTTAAAAACAATAAACACATAACTCGAATGTCATTCAGAAAGCTATTAAATAGAACTACTGCAACAAAAATCTAGATATGTTTTTCCTATGACCCTGGTCATAACTAATGAGACATTATAACTGTTTAGTTCAACTTAAATTCAATGCAGCCAGAACTAATTATACTGTTATATGCAAGGAACCTGTTGTGTGTTATAAGGAATACGATTCATTCTCCTCTCTGAAGTTTTATTGCTATTTAAATGTTTCATAGTAGTCACTCTTATGCAAAGAATCCTTTTCTCATCCCACCTGGATAGTAACAGATGCTTGTCTGAGCTGGAGGAAATGCTGCCTACAGAGCAAGACCCTAAACCACCGCTGCAACAATATGATTCTGCGAAGCACCTCTTGGTGAAGCAGCTCTTGCAAGTGCTGTCGTTCACGCTCCTTTAGGAAAACCTACCAGAAGAAAGACAAAGAATAAAACTTAAGAAGAAATATAAATGTTATTTCATGAATTATCTTTCCCTTCATAAACTTTCAAAGAACACATAAAATGACAGATACGCAAATGATATTTCTGAAACTGAAAAAATGTAATAGAATATGAGAGAGGAAACGGGAAAATGAGAAAAAGAACAGTTCCCAGTGTCAGAGACCATGATACATTGCTAACTCCCACTGGGGGGAAAAAAAAATCATCGCCATAGAAGTGAATGTACTACTGTTGATATGTCACATTTTCCTGAGAATGGTGTACTGGAAAAGGTGAGACGTCAGATCTTAAAAAGTGGTCATGGGGCTGAAGAAAAGGCTCAGTGGTTAAGAGCACTGACTACTCTTGCAGAGGATCTGGGTTCAATTCCTAGCACCCACATGGTGGCTACGAACCGTCCTGAACTCCAGTTCCAGGGGAATCCGAGGCCCTCTTCTGAACTCTGCAGCATTGCACGATACAAGTGCACTCACATACATGCAGGCAATACACTCATACACATAAAAAAACAAAAAAATATATATTTTTAAAAAAGTGATCAGCTCTCTCCTACCCGCAGGCCTCTCTCCGGGACCAATCCAGCTCCTCACTGCAGTCCGCAAGAGGCCTTGGGCCCTCTTCCTGCCCCATATGCCTTTGCATCTCTCGGTGGCTTGGCCACTACCTGCCATAGACCAGCATCTTTCCTGGGCCAGGCTCCCAGGCCAGTCCAACCCCCAAATTCCTGAGGCCAAAATAATTCCTGGAGACCTTAGGAGAAAGCCTGAAAACATCTGACCCTCACCTGAATTGGGCCTCTGTGGGAACTCCTGAAGACAAAAGCAATCTGGCCACTCCAATATAAAATCAAGAGAGATAACCAGAAGCTTAGACGAACCAGCTTTTCATGCCCAAAAAGCAAACCACAAAGACACATAAAGTTCACAAAAAGAAGCAGACCTAAACTTGAAGGCTTGACTCTCACACAAGAATCAGAAACTACAAAAGAAATTCACAAGTCAAAATCATAAAAAAATAATATGAAAAGACAAAATAATATATCCCCACCAAATACCAATAGTACTCTAGAGGAGTAAAATGAGAAACCCCTAGAGATAATGCAGGACATGGAACTCAAAAGAACAATTATAAACATGATAAAAGAATTCAGTGAATTTAAAGAACACACAAAAACAGAAATCAAAGAACTGAAAGAAGATAGGGATAAAGTTCTGAATGAATGCAGAAAAGAGTTAGAAATATTGAAGAATGCTCAGGCTGAAATGAAGAAGGAAGTGAAACACTCAGTAAGCCAATTAGAAACGACAGGAGAAAGGCTCACAAACAGGATGAATGAAATGGAAAACAGTCTTTACCAAGACTGGAAGATAAAGTGGATAACTAGACCACTCAAGCAAAGATTATGAAAAATTTAAGAAATCACAAGAATGGAATATGCAGGAATTGTGTGACACCATAAAAAGACCAAACTTGTGAATCATAGGCATACAGGAACGTGAAGAACCCCAAGACAATGGCATGGACCAGATCTTCAACAGTATTGTGGAAGAAAATTTCCCAAAATTAAAGAAAGACATGCCCATACAAATACAAGAAGCATATAGAACACTGAACAGGCAGGACCACAAAAAAAACTCTCCACAGGGCATCATAGTAAAAACACTATATGTACAAAACAAAGAGACAATTCTGAAAGCTGCAAAACAGAAACAACAAGTCACATATAAAGGAAAACCCATTAGGATTACAGCTGACTTTTCAGTGCAAACTATGAAAACCAGAAGAGACTGGACCAATGTATTCCCAGTTCTAAATGACCACAGATGCCAACCGAAATTACTATACCCAGAAAAAATGTCTATTCTAGTTGAAGGGGAAAGAAAAATCTTCCATGACATAAATAGGCTGAAGGGAATTCATGTCCACAAAACCAGCCCTTCAGAGAGTTCTGGAAGTAATACAAAGAACTGAAGAAAGGAATGACTATACTCAAGGGATTGCAGAAAGAAATCCAATGAAGGTATAACTGTGGAAAGGTACAGCTATAGAGAGAGTTCTGGAAGCAATACAAAGAGCTGAAGAAAGGAATGACTATACCCAAGGGGTTGCAGAAAGAACTCCAAGGAGGGTATAACAGTGTAAAAGTACAGCTATAGCAAGAATATAAACAAAAAAAATGACAGGATTCAATACTCATCTTTCATTAATAACTTTAAACATTAATGGACTGAACTCCCCAGTCAAAAGAAACAGACTATATGAATGGATTAAGAAACAAAACCCATTTTTTTTTTGTCTCCAAGAAACTCATCTCACTTTCAAGGACACACACTATCTCAAAGTGAAAGGATGGAAAAAAATATGCCAAGAAAATGGCACTAAGAAAAAAGCAGGCGTAGCAATTCTAATATCTGACAAAACAGACTTTAAACGAAAACTAATTAGAGAGAGACAAATAGGGCCACTTCATTTTGATCAAAGGAACAATAAATCAAGAAGATATTACAATCATGAACATATATTCACCAAACTCTGGTGCACTGAACAT